CCTCCCACCCTAACCAAAACTTAGTGTTAACTGAAAACCTCTTTGTTTACTGACCTGCCCCTGGTCTGGTGTTAAGTATAGTGATCTGATTTAACTATGGTTATTGGCTTTGCCCCTGTCATGATGTAATTGTGGTTTTAAGCTTTATAAACCCTGCCCTGCTTTTCCTTGGGGTGGGGAGTTGTTTTGGGCATTAGCCCCCTCTCTGACCACTGCCTCCCAAGTGCTGGCATTAAAGGCTTATGCCACCATGCCCAGCTTCATCATTTTTTTTTTTTTGAGACAGGGTCTCCTTGTAGCCCCAGCTGTCCTGGAACTCACTATGTAGACCAGGCTGGCCTTGAACTCACAAAGATCTGCCTGCCTCTGCCTCCCAAGTGCTGCGATTAAAGGCATGTGCCACCATGCCCGGCTTTATTATTATTATTTTTTTTAATAACCACTGAGTTTAGTCAGTGATGCCCATATACACTTGGGTGGGGATGGAACCATCCACTGGAGCATGGTCAATCTACCAGAGACCACACCCCTAGAGGAAACTGATTCTCCCTTAGCAGTTAACTCTTAGTAGCTCCTTAGATAGGGTTAATTACATCTTTCATTGTGTGTGTGTGTGTGTGTGTGTGTGTGTGTGTGTGTTTAAGTGTGGATGCAGACACAAATGGAGGACAATTTTCAGGATTGGCTCTCTCCTGAGGACCCAGGTTTGATTCCCAGCACCCATACAATGGCTGACAACTGTCTGTAACTCCAGTTCCAGGGGATCCAACACCCTCTTCTGAGGCAATGCACGACATGGACTTGGATTTGGCTCCTAGCACCCTACACAGTGGCTAACACTGTATCTCCAGTTCTAGGGGATCTGATGCCCTCTTCTGGTCTCCATGGTGCACAGCAAGGTGCACTTATATACATGCAGGCAAAACACTCATACATATAAAATAAAAATAATTTTTTTTTGGTTTTTTGGAAGCAGGGTCTCCTTGAAACCCCCAGCTTCCCTGAACCCCATTATGTAGCCCGGGCTGGCCTTTAACCCCAAAGAGCCCCCCCTGCCTCTGCCTCTGCCTCCCAAGTGCTGGGACTACAGGCGTGCGCCACCACACCTAGCTATAATAATTGTTTTTTATAGGTATAGTGGTATAGGTCTATAATCCCAGCACTTGGGAGATGGAGACAAAAGTTCAAGGTCAGTCTCAGCTACATAGCTAGTTCAAGGTCAGCCTGGGTTACATGAGACCCTGTCTTTAAAAAAGGAAAAAAAAGGGGGGGGGGAGAGACATAAATATTTGTCTTGCCATTCTGGTGTGAACTTTATTTCAGGGTAACCAAATGGTCCTTGGAAATGTGAAGGTTTTCTGTACAGAATTAGAGTTAATAAATGAAGATGTAATAACAATATTAGGAAATCATAGTTTTGCAATTCCTAGTAAAATAAAATGATCATCAGGGGATGGTAAAACAAGTTCGTGAGAAGTTGGCAGAGAATTTTTGGTGCGTGATTCAGGATATCACCATCTGAAAACAGAACGGGCCTGGGACATGACACAGCATGGGCAACAGATGAATGCTGTTCATTAGGACTAGCTGTGCTGTGTGGAGTAAGTGAAAAATAAAATTTTTTTGAGACAGGTTCTCCCTGTAGCCCCTGCTGGCCTGGAATCCATTATGTAGACTAGGCTTGTCTCAATCTCACAGAGATTCACCTGCCTCTGCCTTCCAAGTGCTGGAATTAAAGTAGTACACTAACATGCCTGGTAAAAAGTAAGTCTTGTGCTGTGTTAAATCACTGAAATATAAGAGCAATTCATTATAGAATTTACTTCCAAAGTACACCACTTACACATATTAAAACATGTGAGAGCACAAAATCATATATATATATATATACATACATACATATGTATATATTTAAAGGTATATACATTTCTAAACATGTTTGATGCATTTGAGTGTAAGCCTATGTCCAGGAGAGGATTGACAGTAGAGATCAGAAACCAAAAGAAGAAAACAGGGAATCTATTATCAACTGATGAGACTTAATAAGGAATAAAAAATAACTTAAAAGGAGTCATGTCTGCCCTTCCCAAAGAGAATGCAGGTTAGTTGCTGGGAGTGTTTTTATCTCTGCCTGGAGGAGCAGGAGCACAGAGACTGGAAAGGAGACAAAGTCAAGGACTGTGCCCGCAGGAATCCTTCACCTTGCCCAGTGTTGTGGCACACACCTTTGATCACACACTTGGGAGGTAGAGGTAAGTGATCTCTGAGCCAGGCTTGGTCTACATAGTGAGTTCCAGACCAGCCAGAGCTACACAGCAAGACTCTGTGTCAAAATTAACAAACAAAAAACTCAGAAATCCTCCACCTTGATCATAAGGAGGCTCACAAGCCTAAAAAGCCCTGAGGATTTTCTCCCAAGTCTGATTTCTTTTCTGAAGCAGGGTCTTACTATCTAGCCCAGGCTGGCCTCAAAGTCCAAATCTACCTGCCTCAGCCTTCTGAGAGCTGGAACTGCCAGCATGTGCCATCATGCCCAGCATATCTGTGGCTTTTAAACCACTAAGCTTGTGGTAATTCATTACATCAGCAACAGCAAAGTAATACCCTGCCTATTCTCCTGTGCGAATAAGGTATGTGAGGCTGAGGGAGGTGGAGCAGGGAGTCACAGGTTTCCTGGAAACCCTTGCAATCACACTGACCTGGGTCCATATTGTGGTACATTTATTACCCAACCTTTAGCAAATTTCTAAGCCATAATACTCTGCTAACGGTGCTGTTTATAGGATTAAGGATTAAGTAGAATTTTTTTTTTTTGGAAGCTGAGCTGTTTAATCATCTCCATGGCCAGACTCAAGGCTGTGGCTACCCTGAACAACTCACACACGGGAGCCACGGAGAGTGGCTGTAGATGAGTGGCCATGTGAGTCAGAGAGGAGACAGGATGGGCAGAGAGAACTTCAGCACCTGACTCCATCATCTGGTGCTCCTGCCCCTGGGTCCTGCTTCAGCTCTGAGAGGGTCCTGGCTGGTCTCCAGGGGGCAAGGAACTGGATGGCGGATGGCAGAGCGACCCTGAGGCAGGGGCAGTGGTTCCCACACAGCCCATGTTGAGGGTGACACTATCCACACCATGGTGGGGATGGAGGCACAAGGCTGGGGACAAGGGGACAAGGTGGGGGAAGAGTGGTAAATAGAATGTTTTAAAATGTCTAATGTATGCTGGGCAAAGCCCAGCACTGGGAAGGCAGAGGCAGGTGGATCTCTGCTGAGTTCAAGGCCAGCCTGGTCTACATAGGGAGTTCCAGGCCAGCTGTGGCTACAGGGAGACCCTGTCTCAAAAAGACAAAAAAAAAAAGTCTAATGTATAAAGCAAGTTAATTTTCTTTTTATGTTATACTTCTTTGTGGGTTTATACATATCCATTATTCTTTGAACATGTGTAACTGAATACCCAGCACATGCCTGGCACCATACCCATAATGAACTCGTGTCCACTATCACCCAAACATTTCTCACTGAACCTACCATTCACCTTCCAGCCAACCTAATGTTCAGCTTCATCACCACCACTGCTGCTCCCTTACCCCATCTGCCAAGTACATACTCTTATACCTGCCCTCTCCCACAATCTCAGGACCTCCAGAGACAAATGGACAAATGGATCCTGGCTGGTCAGTCCCATCCTCCCCCTACCTCCAGGTGTTGTTTCTATAGCTGCCATCTCTGCCTTAAGCGAGCTCTGAGGAAAGCCTCAAAGAACAGCATGAGTCTTCTGCTCAGTCTTTCATATGGTTTCATGTCATTCATTCTTCTCTCTGTACTTCTCACCTTTTCCCCTTTCTCTGACCTTTCAAACAGATCCTACCTATAACTCACCAAAGCCCAGGCTAACAGGATAGTTGAGCCTCAACTAGGCAGCCAGGAAGCAGGTGGGGAGAACCAGAGATGTGTTAACTGTCCTTGGACTTCTCAGTGGCAAACTGGAGTCTAAGGTATTAAGACAGGATGACCAAAGCTGAGCATGGTGGCTCACACTTGTAATTCCAGCACTCGGGAAGCTGAGGCAGGAGGGTTGCTCATGATTTTGAGGCCAGCATGGGCTATACAGTGAGTTCCAGACCAACCTGGGTTACAGAGTAAGATACTGTCTTAACCACCCCCACCCCACCACCCCCATCCCTGCCAGAGTCTCCAGGCGGTCCCACTCACCCCACCTCTCTAGCCCAGCATTCTCAGGTCTTCACCTCTGCCAAGATCAACTTGGTTTTCCTAATTTCACCCCACCCTGCTCCTAATCTTCAGCTCTGAAGCACTGAGCCCTGACTGCTCCCCTCCCCCCAGGTATGTGCTACCCACCCAGCTAGGACTTAAATGTTTGGGGTTTGAGGTGTTAACTGGGCAATGTAACTTAAGTATGGAGCTGTGAGCATGCAGGCAGGCAACAGGCTCTCTAACATGGCCATTACTACAGTTCTCCAAAATGTAGAGCAGGGCAAATCTTAGCTGTGCATTGAGGGAGTCTGGTTTCCTAAAAGCCTATCCTGTAATTCCTTTGAATTTGAAGGTTTCACCCAGCAACTCTAGCAGTAGTGCATAGTGGCCACAAGGGGACCGGCAACTCCAGAAGTTTATAGGGAGGTGAAGTGAGCCTTAAATACAAATACAGTAGTTTCCAAAGGGAAAGGTGGTTGGTTGGTTGCCCAAGGGAACACTATAAACTGGTTAGATTAGGACAGAAATAGGGTGTTCAAAATCTTTGCCTGAGGGGAAGTCAGGAGCCCCAGAGCCATGTGGAATGGTAAGAAGAGGTCTGGCAACAGAAGAGGCAGAGCTTGCTGTGGAGATAGCAATCACCTTGATGGCAGCGAAGGGCCAGAGACTTGAATGTATTGCTGTAGGATTTGGGCAAAACAACCCTTGAGGCACTGGAGCTGGAGGTGAGGGGACGGACAGGATCAACTTGGTTATCCTCCCTTCCCCAACAGGGGATGAAAAGCAGAAAAAGTAGCCAAGTGTTTATTCCAGGATTTGGGGAAGACTCTTCCAACTCAGGAGGGCACACAAATATCGTCCTTTTCCCTCCAGTAATCTAATTTCGGGGCCCAGGAAGGAAGGACAGGGACCAACATATGGGGCAGGTAGCTGTTGCTTAAAGGGTTAATCTACAAGAATTCATTTTGGTATCAGCACAGCCACAGCCACACACGTACATCTTTCTCTGGGCTTGTCCTCTCCCTGAGCCCCAGGGTGACAGTTTCCCTGGAATTCTTTCTCTGGTATAATTACCTAGGACCTGGGGACCCAACCCCAGAACCAGTTCCCCTATCCCTCCTCAGGTTCCAGGCTTGCCATAAAAGAAGAGGACTTTCCATAGTCTTTTCCCCCCTCCCAGATGAGGCCCCAGGGACTAAAGGGCATCTGTTGTTTTCTGCCATGCCTCCACATTGTAGCCCAGACAAGGAGATGCCTTGTATCCCAACCTCAGGCTGGCATACTTGTGACCAAATGGTGGAAGGCTAGACAGGGTGGGGGAAGGGTAAGTGCAGTCAGATGCCAAGACCTCCCTACCATTCAAGTGTGGCCCCAGAACCCTGAAACCTCATTTTCCTTACCTCCAAACAATAGTGGGATGAGGAGGTACATTAAAAGGGCTAAGTCCTAAAGGGGAAACAGAGGTGTGAACACACTTAAGCTGAACATCCTGGAAGGCAGTTGTGGGGCCAGAAAACAGGAATGGGGCAGCCCAGGAACAGGGTAAGACAGGCCTGCAGTAAACTAAGCCTAGCCAACTTGAGAGCCTAGGTGGAGATTCAGAGTTTCTCTCCCTAAAAGCGCCAAGATAAGAGTGTTGTTATAGCACCAGGCAGAGATGTAGCCACAGAAGTGAGATCCTTAAGACAAAATACCATGTTTGAAAAGTGAGGACCTTCTGAAATGCAACACGAACATCTGCAGTGAAAAACACAGCCAGGAAGTGTTATGTGCCCACTAAAAGAAGTAATGACTGTGACATTAAGTGATAAAGGTCATGCTTAACAACAGGGGCTCAGAAGCCCTCTATAATGACCTACCACACACCATCGAAGGACAGGTACAGAAGAGGCACTAGTCTATCCTGGCAGGAAATGACATCACTCAGCAGATAGGAAGGGGTGGGTTCCCAACTCCAAAGGCACCTAGGAAGGCTTATTGGATTCATGGATTCATGGAGGTTTAGCCCTGAATATTCCTCCTCAATTCTCCATTTTGCCTAAGAGGCAGCCAAGGCTCTTAGACTTTAGATAAAGTGATTACACCCCCATCTCTTCATCAGTGATGTTCTGGAGGTCCTAAAATTCCTTAACACTTCACCTAGTTGGAGGAGGGACATCAGGCACCATAAACTAGGCCTTTATAGTGAGTATCTTTATGGAAATAGCTCTAGGGACCCAATAATTGTGGGATAAAAGGAAAGGCTCCCTAGGGACCAGAGAGATGATGAGCCAGGTTTCCATGGTAACTGATTTCAGTATAGTCTAAGCCTAGTTCAAGAGTGAGGAAAAATAAATTTTGAGGGAGATCAGAGCCAAAGGTTGAAAGCCCCACAAAGTGCAAATGGGTGGAAAAGATTTTACAAGAAGGTCACATCATCCTGGCACTGTCCCCAGTACCAGTGAGCCTCAAAGTCCAGCTTAGAACTGTCATCCTCTGGCGGCTGAGGTGATCCACCTTGGAGCTCATCCCCTGGGAGCTTCCATGCAGCCCCTAAACTCCCAAGCCTGGTAGATGTCATATCCACCTCAGTCCTGGACCTGTGCTCACCAGGGATAACCTTTGTCCAGTCAATGTCGGGACAGGAAGCCCCAGGGGGGCCTTGTTCATCCAGATCTCTGGGGGCCACAGTATCCAAGAAGCTGCCAATAGAGACACTGTCTAGCCGGTCAGTGGAGCTGGTGTCTGGCAGGCTGTCCCAACTACCCCGCCTTGAATGACCTGGGCTTCCACCTGTCAAGCTGTATTGGCTGCTGGTGAGGCTACTGCAATGGCTGGTCAGTGTTCCCCGCTCTTCCAACAGCCAACGCACTGCCTCGATGCCCTCATTCAAGGTCACCAGTTGCTGCAGGATCTTCACATCAATAGCCCGAAGGTAAGCCTGGAGAAATGAGAGAAGAAATTAGTTCTAAGTTCTAGGCTGTGGTTTCCCAGGTGTTTACAGAGGCCTGTGATCCAGCCAGCCATTCTTCACTTTCAAAAAGCATGGGAAGAATTATCTGGAGAATGGGTTTTAGATGCAAACAAACTTCAGTTTAAAATTTTAGCTGGGGCTGGGCTGGAGAAACAGCTCAGTGGCCTCTTAGCATGTGTGAGGACCTGAGTTCCATACCTACCACTGGGGGAAAAAGAATCAGTTTCTCTACTGATTAGCTATATGCTTGTGGAAAGCTGTATTATTTTCTGTGAGCCTCCTGTTTCCTTGACTGAAAATCAAGGCTAAATCATTCACCTCACAGCATGGCAGCAAGGATTTTGAAATGCTGTCTGTTTTGTACTTACCAAAGTGAGGTCTTAGTAAATGCTAGGCATTAAAATACAAGGCTAGGGGGGCCGGAGAAAATACTAAGCAGTTAAGAGCACTTGCTGAGTTGGCAGAGGCTCTAGGTTCAGTTCCCAGCATCCACATCAGGCAGCTCACAACTGACTCTAATGCCAATTCCAGGGTATCCAACACCATCTTCTGGCCTCTTCAGGCACCTGCACATATGTGATGCATATACAGATGTGGTCACACACATAAAATATAAAATAAAATTTTCTTAAAGACAAAGCTAAGGAGCTGGGTATGTAGCACAGTGGGTGAGGACTTGCCTAGCTAGCATGCATGAAATTCTGGGTTTCATCCCCAGCGTTAAATAAATAGGGAGTATTCCCAGCATTCAGGAGGTTTAAGCAGGAGGATCAAAAGTTCAAGGTCATCCTCAACTACATATTCAGTTCAAGACCAGCTTGGTCTTCATGAGACCCTGTTTCAAAATTAATTAAATAAAATTTAAAAAGACTGAGTTAAGTCTGGTGGTTCAGGCCTATAATTCCAGTACACAAGTGACTAAGGCAAGAGGATCAAGAGTTAGAGAACAGGCTGGAGAGATGGCTCGGCAGCTGAGAGCACTTGCAGAGGACCAGAGTTCTGTTCTCAGCACCCACATCAGGCAGCTTACAATCACCTAGAACTACAAATCTAGGGGATCCAACTCCCTTTTCCAGCCTCTGTGGGCACCCACACACATAGACATACACAAATAAAAATAACAAATTTTGGGGGCTGGAGAGATGGCTCAGAGGTTAAGAACACGTTGTTCTTGCAGAAGACCTGGGTTCGAATCCCAGCACCCACATGGCAGCTAACAACTATCCATAACTCCAGTTCCAGGGGATCTGATGGCCTCTCTGTCCTCCTCGGGCATTGCAGGACCCAGGTGCACTTACATACATGCAGGCAATACACTCATACACATAAAATAAAAATAATTGGGCCAGGCATGGTGGCTCACGCCTTTAATCCCAGCACTCAGGAGGCAGAGGCAGGCGGATCTCTGTGAGTTCAAGGCCAGCCTGGTCTACATAGTGAGTTCCAGGACAGCTGGAGCTACAGGGAGACCCTATCTCAAGACCAAAAAATAATAATAATAAATACATAAATAAATAAATAAATAAATAAAGACCAATGTTGAGTGCGCCACCCCTGCCCCCCCCAAAAAAAAACCTTAAAATCAGCAAGGCATGGAGGTCATAATCTCAGCAATTGGGAGGCAAAGGCACACAGGTCTCTGAGTTGGAGGCCAGTCTGGTCTACATAGAGAGTTTCAAACCAGCAGGACTGCATAGTGAGACTTTATCTCTACATAAATTAAATTAAATTACATCCAATCTCACTGGGCTTCCAAATTCATATTCAGGGCACAGTACTGAACTAGTCCAGATTTACCAACAAGACTTAGAAACAAACAAAAGCTAGTTAGTAAGGTGTTAACTGGGAAACAGACTGGGCCAAAAGGAAGGGGTAGCTGAGGAATAAGGGAATTAACTTGGTTCCCAATTCTCCTAAGTCTCATAAGACAAGGCCTGAGGGAGGGAGAGAGAGAAGGCTTGGCTGGAGCAGAGCTAAGGGTCAGAATCCCAGTGACTTTGGATCTGGGGATTCTGTCCATCACAACATCACACCGGTCTGTTTATACTGGAAGTAAGATTGACCTACAGGGTAATCTCCAGGGTCTTTCCCAGCGCGGGTGCACTGAGTACCTTCCTCAAGCCTTGACAAGTCTGAACCTGTCTTGCCCTTGCTCTGAGCTTTCTATGCTTTGCAGAGCTCCTCGAGAATGAACTCTAAACATATCAGCAGCTGGCATTCAAAAGCCTCTTATACTATGGCCCTTTCTACCTCTCTAGCTTCACCTCTAACATACTTCTTTGTGACCCAAGATCCAGCCACAACATTACTTTTTAAAAAATATCTTATTTTTAAGATGCATGCCTGCATGTAGGTAAGCGCACCCGTGTCATGCAATGCACTCGGAGGACAGAAGAGGCTGTGCGCCACCATGCCCAGCTTATTTTTATTTTTTGTGTACGAGTGTTATACCTGCCATAGAGACACCCTTTCTATTTCCCCATCCTCCCAATAGGCAATACATTTACTAGCATTTGGAAATGCTATTTACAGCCAACCCTTATGCTTTACTATAGTTACTTTTTATTTTTTACAAATTTGTTTTCCTTAGAATGATTGCTATTATGCTTTAGTTTGCTTTGTAGTTATCAGTAAGTCATTCCAGTTCCCTCCCATTGTCTGAATTTCCCTCTCAAGGCTTTCAGACCAATCATATTGCCGTCTATGTCATCTTACAGGCATCTCTTTAGAACCTGTCTGATCTGCTCCAATCTGTCCCTGCAGCACAGCAATTTCCTTTCATTATCATCATTAGAGATTCTCTTTTCCTCTCTTCTGAGTGGGATCGCACATTTCTTAATTCCACTCATATATTGTCTTCCTTCCCTCCCTTCCTTCCTTTTCTGTTGTTGTTGCTGTTATTTTTGAAGCAGAGTTGGAATTTATTAAAAGACATTTTAGAGCTGGGTGTGGTGGCGCATGCCTTTAATCACATTTTAGAGCGAGTGAGATGGCTCAGCAGGTAAGGGTGCCTGCCATACACACCCGGCAACCTGAGTGTGGTCCCCAGAACCCAGGGAGAGAATTGAAAACTGTCCTCTGACTTACACACATAGGCACACACCTGCGCAATAATAAATTGAAATAAAACTTTTTTTTTTGTCTTTTTGAGACAGGGTCTCCTTGTAGCCCCAGCTGTCCTGAACTCACTATGTAGACCAGGCTGGCCTTGAACTCACAAAGATCTTCCTGCCTCTGCCTCCCAAGTGCTGGGACCAAAGGCGTGCGCCACCACGCCTGGTGAAATAAAACTTTTTGCTGGGTATGGTGGCACACATCTTTAATTCCAGCACTCAGGAGGCAGAGGCAGGAAGATCTCTATGAGATCAAGACCAGCCTTGTCTACATAGCGAGTTCCAGGCCAGCTATGGTTACAGGGAGACCCTGTCTCAAAATTAAAAAAACAAATAAATTAACATAGATTTTAAGCATGAGGACTAACAGAAAGAAAGGACTCAGGAAAATCAGACACACCTGAAAGTGGGGCTGGAAAGGTGGCTCAGTGATTAAGAGCACCCACCCACTGCTTTTGCAGAGGACCCAGGATTCGATTCCCAGCACCCACGTGGCAGCTAACTTCTTGTTTGGGGGGGGTCTTTTATATTTCATTTTTAAAAATTTTAAATGCATGAGTGTTTTGCCTGCATGTATATGAGTGTACCACGAACATGTGGAAGTTAGAAGAGACCTTCCAATACCCTGGAAATGTAGCTAACCCACAGTTGTTAGCTACTATGTGGGTGCTAGGTACTGAACTGAGTTTCCCTACAAGAGCAGCCAGTGCTCTTAACTTCTAAGCCATCTCTCCAGCACCCATCCTCTTTTCTTTCTTTCTTTCTTTTTTTTTTTTTTGAGACAGGATCTCACCTTGTAGCCCAGACTGATCTAAAACTCCCCTGCCAAGTGCTGGGATTACAGGTGTGAACCACCATGCCTACCTAATTCTTCTTGATTTACTACTTCATTTCTCTCCCTCTAGAAACAGCCTAAGAAATTCTGCATAAGAGGTTAAAGATATAGATAGATAGATAGATAGATAGATAGATAGATAGATAGATAGATAGATAGATAGATAGATATGTAATGTTATGTCTATGAGTATGATGCCTGCATGTAGGTAGGTGCACCCTTGTCACACAATCCCCTCAGAGGTCAGAAGAGGGCATTGGATCCCCTGGAACTGGAGTTACAGATGGTTGTTACCACGTGGGCGTTGGGAATTGAACCTGAGTCTTCTGCAAGAACAGTCAGTGCTCTTAACCACTGAGCCATCTCTCCAGTCCCAGCTTTGTATATTTTTTTAATGTTATTATTCAGCCAGATGTGGTAGCGCAAGCCTTTAATCCCAGCACTCAGAAGGCAGAGGCAGGTAGAGCTCTGTGAATTTAAACCTGGTCTACATGGTGAGTTCCAGATTCATTGAAGTTACAGGCAGTTGTTACGACACCCATGTGGGTGCTGGGAATCAAATCCAGATGCTCTGCAAGAGCAGCCACTGCTCTTAACCACCCAGCCATTTCTCCAGTCTCTGTCATCATTTTAAACAACAACAAAAATTTGAGACAAGGTCTGATGGAATCAAACTAAAGCCCCCCAGGTTAAAGTGGATTCAAACCAAGTTCCCCAGACCAAAGAAAAATATTCAGAACAAGGAAGTAAAAAGTAAAATAATTCTAACTGCTGAGAAAGAACTGACCTTTTCATGCTCCGTACACAAGCCGGACATCACCCGAAATTCCCCCCCTCCTACTGCTGCCGGCCCCCTCCCACTGCTACCGGTTGCTGCCGGCCCCCTCCTACTGCTGAAGGTTGTGGTTTGTGGTTTTTGCCTTTAAAAGTCACCTGTAAGCTGAGCTCGGGGCTGCTGCTCTCTCTCTCTCTCTGAGTGAGGCAGGGGCCCGTCTGCGCAAACGATTAAATCCTCTTGC